ACCTGAGGAAATTTTTCCCTCAAATAATCCCATTTTTGCTCTGGAGAATTTTCCTCTTCTTCAGTTAGTTTAAGTTTTTCTTCTAAGTGGACTGTCACCATGATAGTGGGTGGTGACCTGAGTTCTAAGTTTCCCTCTTCAGATTTGAAAGAAATAACAGCCCCTAATTTTCTCAGTAAATCTCTTCCCAGCAAGGGGTAGGGACACTCAGGTATGACCAAGAAAGAGTTGGTTACAGTACCTTTTCCCAGGTTTACAGTTCATAGCGTTGTCCAGGGATAAGAGGCAGATTGTCCGGTAGCTCCAGTAATGGAGGACTTCATGGAGGAAAGTGCTCCAAGGGGAGCTCTGAGGACTGAATGGGCTGCTCCAGTGTCTACAAGAAACTCGACATCTGTTCTGCCTATTCCCAAAGTTCCCATAGGCTCATCGGGTTAAGCGGCCATGAGCCATGGCCCATTGGTCTTCTTCCCCTGTGGAAAAGATTCCTCCCATTTTCTTTTCTGGTTTCTTTTCTTGTTCCCTTTTCTTTTTCCATTTTTCGCAATCTTTCCTGTAGTGTCTCCTTTCTTTGCAATATGCACATTGATCTTTATTTACGGGAGGCCATCTCTTCTCCTTATTTCCCCATTTTGTTCCTCTTCCCTTTTGCATAAATCCTTCCTCTACCAATGCCATTGTATTTGCCCTTGCCATCTTTTTAGCCATTTTGTCTTCGGGTGGATCCCTGTTTGTGAATACCTTCATTGCTACACTTACAGTTTTTTCGTATTTTCTCCCTCAAAGCCCTCAATTTTCTGCAATTTTTTTCAAATATTTGGGGCCAACTGAGTTGTAAAAGCCAAATTAATTGCCCGCCAGTTTGCTGGAGCGTCTGGGTTAATTGGAGTCTACATAAGATATGCCTCCAGCAACCACTCTAGGAAGGCAGAGGGGGATTCCTCAGGCCCTTGAAGGACCTCACTTACCTTGCTCAAATTGTTAGGCTTGTGAGTGGCTCCCCTAAGGCTGGCCAGGAGATGTTGACCGTAGTTGTGAAGAGCTTCCCTACCTCCCATGGAGTTCGGTTGCCACTGGGGATGGGTGAAGGGAAGTTGTGCTTCAATTTGGGCCCATTGTTGCTCTCAGTGAGTCCCTCAGTTCCCCCCAGCACCAACCGAATAGTGTGTCCTCTAATTCTTTCTCATTCTTCAGAAGTGAACAGAACCTGTAAAAGTTGCTGGCAGTCATCCCAGGTGGGGTCATGGGTGTTAAATACAGACTCAAGGAGGGAGATTAGGGCCTACGGCTTCTCAGAGAATGGGGGATTCTGGTGCTTCCAGTTATATAAATCACTCATAGAGAGAGGAATGTACACATAATGACCTTGTTCTATTTCCCTCAATGGGAGCACAGGGACCAGACCCGGCCTCTCTGGGGGTGCCTCTGGGGGTCCATAGGCGGAGCCCCCTCAGGTGTGGGAGGGAGAGGTTGAGGAATCCGGGACCTCTCCATCCTTTGGAAGAGATGGGTAGATGGAGTTGACCCCCGTCTCCCTAGAGGATGACTCTGCACATGGAGAGGGTCCTACCCTGGGGTCAGTAGGCTCTAAGGGGTCCGGCTCCTGGGAAAAGACCAGCCTGGGTGTCTGCCGCTTTAAGGACTTTATCCCATTTGGCACCATTACCAGAATACGAGAACTGGTGTGCAGGGAGCAGCGCTGCAACCATGCCGGAGGTTCTTCACAGGCCTGGGCCCAGATACTAATATAAAGGAATTGGTTGGGGTGGCCAGGGTGTCCAGTGACCTTCTCTCATACCGCCTGACAAAGTCTTGGTTTGAAAGAGCCTTCAGCTGGCCATCCCACTCCGAAGGTGGGACATTCCAAGTTGCAGAGGGTTCGGAGTTTCCCTCAAGAGAACCTCATTCCATATTCATCTTCCTGCTCAGGAGAAAAAGCCAATTTAAAGTTAGTGAGAAAACAGTACAATGGGGTGTTTTTGGAACTGGATCCTCCCATCTTGTTCCTAGGAACGAATGCAAAGTTAACACTCAACAGACAGGACACAGACAAGACAAACAGGCGCCACACAAAAGAAAAAACTTTGATTCTAGCTGGAGTCCTGGTCAGGGCCGGGGTCAGGGGAGGCTTCCCGGCTGGTCAGCCACCTCTATCCTGACAACAGATGGTTGCAACCGGTCCAAAGCTTACCTCTGGAGGCCTTTAAAGGTCTATGTCTGAGAATCTCCTGCTGGATCCCGTGACAGAGAATCTCGGCCGGATTTACAGTTCCCACCCAGGGAAATCTCACTGGGGCCTCCAAAATGTAAAACTTAAAGTCTCACTTCCACTCCGAGGAGCACAAACAGCCAAAAGGCCTCCATGATGCTGAGCCCTAAAGCTAGGCGAGGCTGCAGGAGCTTGTCGGCCACCGAGAATCACCCAGGAAGGAACACACCAGGCTGGTTGGTAAATAGACCTTTATTAGTCTGGGCAGACAGTACTCCCAGAGCCAAGTAGCTCAGAGAGGCAACTAGCTCAGAGTTAGAGGCTATTTTATAAAGGGCCATGGGGGGAGTTGGCAAATGGTCAGTTGATCCGAGCTGGCAGTCATCAATCATGTACTCGACCGTTATGTACTAATGATCAGCAGATTGATTACCCATTGTTTTATAGATTGTGGTGTTCAGAACATTCAGTTGTGGGCAAACAAGGAGTGGAGTGATTTACTTTGGGTCTCTATGTTTGTCACAGTTTCTCTCTAGTTTCCCAGCTGCAGTTTCTATCCAGAACTACCAAGCAATTACCTAGTAATTCACAATTAATCATTACTTATCCTATAAGCGGGGGGAACAACAGTCTCTGGGTCATTTGCTGGTCAACATGGAGTCTCTCTAGTTCAGTCAGGTCTCACAGCCAGAGTTCAATCCTCAGTACCGAAAAAAAAAAAAAAATCAAGAGTTCAAAAAGAAAACAAGTCACAACTTTATTCTGAGTATAGGTAATTTATGAGCTCTAATCTGCTTTATCCAGTCTGAGGACATTAAAATTAATTACCACCTGAAAGGGGGTGAAGGGAGGGCAGGGGTGTGGAGAAGAAATGAGAACCAAGATCTGTCATGTAAGGGTACAAGATCCCAATGATGAATGTAACTGTACTGTATACTTTAAAAGTACCAATAAAATCAATAATATTTTTAAAAAATACCACCTGGAACTTCAAAGACAGAAATTCAGGAATGAGTTGAAAGGCACTGAAACTATATGCGCATACCAGATCAGTAAGACAATATTCAAAAGCCAAGCCAGGCATGGGGGTGCATGACTGTAATCCTTGTACTTGGGAGGCTGAGGCAGGAGAATCAGGAGTTCAAGGCCAGCCTAGACTAAAATCCAAAACAAAACATTAAAAAGCTAGTGTCTAGGTCTGGGGATTCAGTTCAATGGTGCTGCTGCCTGCCTCACAAGCGCAGGGTCCTGAGTTCAACCCCCGGTACCAAAAAACAAAACATAACAAAAAAGCTAGAGTCTAGAATTAGCTGTTCAGAATTCAGAAGGGGACATTTGTTTTAACATTCTGATGTATTAGCAAAAATGGGCCCTACTGCGATGTTTGGGAAGAAGGGAGAAGTTTTTCCCTTATGACTTGTATATGAAGACAGTTTATATGACACAATTCAAAACTTTTAACAGGGCCAGGGCTTTAACTCAGTGGTGCCACCGCCTGCCTCACAAGCACAAGGTCCGGAGTTTGATCCCTGGTACCAAAAACAAAACAAAACAAACAACTTTTAAACAAAACAAAACAAAGAAAATAAATCCCAGGGCCCAGGATTTAGCTCAGTGGTTCTGCAGCCTGCTTCGCAAGCTGAAGGACCCGAGTTTGATCCCCAAAACAAACCAACAAAAAACCTATAGCTTTTGATTACAAATGCAGACACTTGGGCCGGGGATTTAGCTCAGTGGTGCCACCACTTGCCTCACAAGTAGAAGGTCCTAAGTTTGATCCTGGGTACCTAAATAAATAAATAAATAAATTGATTGAGATTAAAGTCCATATCTCTCATGGAGATATAAAAGGCACATGCATTCAAGATTTATTTCACTCATTCAATGAGGGCACCTATAAGATGTTACAATCAGTTCCATGAAGATCCAAAGGACAAACACATTAAATACCATAAGTGGAAGAGGCCTGACATTATGATTCACAACTGTAATCCCAGCTCTTGAGAGCCTGAGGCAAGGGGATTGCTGCAAGTTCAAGGCCAGCCTGAACTATGGAATACGTACCAGGACTCTGTTTAAAAAAAAAAAAAATTTTTTTATTAAAATAATGAATGTGAAAGCAAACTGGCCTCTCCCGTACTGCCTCGACCTGCACAGTGTAGGGTCCGAAGGTGGGAGAGCGGTAGCACAGGACGAAGAGACAATGAAGAGACCAAGATTATGCCTGAAAGTTGGAGACCAGGTGGAACCTCAGCGCATCTGGAAGAGAAGGCGGGGCAGATAGTGCTACGTGGGCGGAGCATGCGTGATTGTTTCCTGGTGGGCATGAGGAGAAAGGGAGCAGGGAGGGTTAGGGCCACCTTCAGGCTTGGCCGAGGCACACAGCAGAAGAAGGAAGGCGATTTAAACCCAAGGGGCACAACTCAGTGCGCGCACAGCAAAGATTATTATTTGCCGATGTGCGTCATCCGCACCTCAGAGCCCCCCGGTGAGGCGCAGACAACGCAGCAAGGCAACTTAGCTGGGGATGCTTTCCACACAGGGCACAGTTCTCCCCCAGAGCTGGGCCTCAGCCCGGCCCCTCCAGGAAGGTCGAGTGGACGATCCCCGAGGTCCCGATCAGCGTGGGAGGCTGTGCTTGTGCACAAAGCTGGCAGGGACGCACGGCTCAGGGACAGCCCGAGCCTGTTCCGCAGCACGAGCGGGGAGGACGTGACCTAGGACAGCGCGCTCTTCTCACCGGGCCAATGTGAAGCCCGGCCTGGGGACAGCTCCCAGCCTGGTCAGAGGCATGGCGGAGAGGGGCACCATTTTAACCCCCAGAGCTCGCCCTCTCCTTAGCACCCTCCCGGAGCTGTGCCGCTCACGCTGGCCCTGCGGGGCACCCCTGCGAGGTCCGACAGTAGCCAGGCCCAGGCCGGGCCCCTGTGGGCACGTCCAGGCTTCCGAGGTGCGGCCAGCCCTGTGGCAAGGCGTGAGAGCCTCCGGGGGCTCCCGGCGCAGGAGCACGACTCAGCGAGTCGGGACGGACCGGGCTGACGTTAGCTACCTCCCCGTGAGGCCAGGGGCGCTGGACAATGCCGAGAACCACCGTTTGAATACTGTTGGGGCTCAGGAAAAGCTACCCCGAAGTATGGCACAGTGGCAGACTGAGCGCTTCTGTTACTGGACTTGGGAGGCCCAGTAGACCAGGCCTGGCCACCCGTCCTGGGAAGCCCATCCGAGAGACCCGCAGGGGTCAAGACAAGAAAAGAGCTTTGAGGGTCGGGATGTAGCTCAGTGGTGTCGTGGCCTGCCTCGTGAGCGCAAGGTCCTGAGTTCCATTCCTGGTACAAAAACAAAAACAAAAACAAAAACAAAAACAAAAAAACAGAAAAAGTTTTGTTTTCAGGGTGATCACCCAGGGAGGACAGAGGTTAAGTGACCTAAGACCTGTCTTCAGAAATGCTCATGGTATCGGGAGGGTCGAGAGTTCGAGGCCAGCCTGGGCTACATAGCAACCCTATCTCAAAAACACAGACAAAAATGGTCATAGTGACAGAGATCTAGAGGGTGGGCCTGCAGGTGCCCCAGGTAACCAAGAACAGGCTGAATGGCTTCTCTGCCTTCATTTTTCTCCTTTTTTACCTTAAAACTGGGTCAGCGTCCTGCTCGTCCCTGCACGTAGATATGTAGGTCACTTCAGGAGTGTCGGTAACAAGGTTTGTTAGCCCTAAATCCACTGCCCTTCCTGTCCCCTTTCAGGACGGAGGACACCAGAGTAAGAATAACTAAAGCAGAGTCCAGGGCCGCTGGGCCAATTGGCAGCCTTCACAGAGCCCAGCCAGCGCTCGGAGTGACTCCCGCCAGAACCAGGCCTCGTCCTAAACCGCGATCCCCTCCTGTTCCGGAAAGCGGGGCCTCAAGACCTCCTAGGGCTGCAGGACCAAGGCCCAGCCCGCCGTGTCCGAAGACGCCCCTCCCGCGGGTCAGTCCGGGCTCTTCTCACGCTCGCGCCCCCTCAGCTTGCAAAGCTCCTTCCGCTTCCTCTTGCTTCCCGGTTTCGGATTTTGCTGCTGAATTCACGCTGACTTCCTCGGTTGTAATTTTCCTTTTCTCCGGGACAACGCTTTCCAGCTCTCCTCACACCTCTGAGGACCTTCCCGACTCAGCCTTCCTGGATTTGGCTGCGCCTTCCGCTGGGAAATTGGCCGGTGCACCGAGGAGGCCCGAGGAGCCCTGTCCTCTTCCTCCTTCCCCCACCCCCGCGCTCCCGCGGGCTGCGAAACTGGCTCGGGAGGACGCGGCACAGCACCTGGCTGTCGTCTCCCCGGGCCCAGCCCGGAGGTCTGAGGGAAACCG